TCTAATGGTTGCCAAACATTGGTCTCAATACTGTCGAGCTATAGATAGGCTATGATTTGATGCAAAACTGGTTTCAATGCAATACTCAGAATCCAAATGAATATCAAATGAGTTAATACTAAAAGTTTTAAGACTTTATGCAAAACAACTCACTATTACTCATGTCTTATGCCTCGAGGCTATTATTGCCTCCAATATAGAAATCATTTCATTATTTCTTATGATTACATATTATTGCAGCTATTATTTGGTATAAACTTTTGTTAAACTATTAAATATAGTTAGTTTTGTTATGATATTATGTGTCCAACTCTTGTAAAGTGTGCACAACTTGTGCTCATAAATGTGTTTATATATGAATTGAGTGGATATACATGTAATTAATGTGTAATCAAATGAATGTCAAGTTTGGAGACACAGACACACAGACAGTGTGCGAGACGTTGAGGCAAAGTATAAGTGAAGTGAATGTGAAGACTGTAATCATAGTCGTAGTCATAATCATAAGCAATAAGCAATGAATGCATTGTAAATGTTTGGTCGCATTCACAGCATTCATAGCATTGATTGTGTATTAATAGCGAGACTTCAATGCAATTAATAGTGATTTCTGTTGCAAAACAAGTGCACAGAAATGCGCGAAAACTATTCGTTGAAACAATACTGCGTTCCTATGGTTGTAGACAATGTGTATTGCATTCATAGCATTCATACGAACACCACTCCAACGGCAACTGTACTCTCCAACTGAGTCATCGTTCGTCACAAACGGTAGACGAATAGCGATAGACAGCCACTCCTGACGTCATCCACCGGTTCTAAGCGGTGGGGTTAGGGCGGGGCAGAGGGGGAGCCGTGTGTATAGCAGATGTGGTGCGGTGCTGGCCGGGGGTGCAGTGGTGTGGGGTGTGGGCCGGTGTGGTGGTTGACGTCAGAGTGCGTTGTATGCATAGGTTGTATGTATGGGTTGTATGCGGTGTTAGAGTTGTTGGCATTCTTTGTCAGAAATATTTGTAATTCCAGACAAAAACCAAAACCAAAACCAAAACTCTATTCTCTTATACAGTGAACACAAAAGACTCAAACATTGAAAACAACTTTTCAATCCATTTCTCACATCCACTCAACGAATTAAGCGCCTAATCATTGAATCACTGGTGAGTTATGACACTATTATTAACCATAATTAGTAGTAATAGTAATAGTTATGAATGTATTAGTATTAGTAGTATTAGTAGTGATGTGTGAATGAGTGCCACAAATGAATGGAAAGTGAATTCATATTTGAATGCCTTTTGAGAGCAACTGTTGATTACATGCAGTCATAGACAGTATGAGAGAGAGTTTGCTTCATCCGTACGTACAGTGTCTGAGCCATTGGACCCACCATTCCCTCCACACCACCGATACTACCATTCCTACCGTTCCTATCATTTCCAACACATTTCCAATGCAATGCGTGTGAATGACAACTATTTTCAAGACATTTCATTCATTTCGTAAACACTTTCAAAACAATGACTCAATTGTGAGACATATGTTGAGACATATTGTGCGACACTTTCACTGCTTTTCCATTTAAACTCTCATTAATCCACTAATCACTACATATGACCACCAATTGGTTAACTAGTGTCTCAACCAAACTCTAACCCATAGTTAATACTGTAGTTAACAACTCTCTCTCTCTCTCTCTCTCTCTCTCTCTCTCTCTCTCTCTCGTGTGTGTGTGTGTGTGTGTCTCAATGGAAAGTATGGTTTCTTTGTGGTGTAGGACAGGACGGGAGAGAGTCTGGAGACGACTGGTGTTTCTGGTGTTGAGTTGAATCACTTGTTCAGAGCTGTTGTTGACTCGCCTTCTATTGCCTTCAGTTTCCGTTCAGTTTTGAGTCTTTTTTCTTATAAAATATTGGCTAAACTTATGGCTCAGCCAGTTCTCAGGCACTGCTCGGCTCCCTATCCCTGTGCCTCTCCCTCTGCTTACAACTCACCTGTCGTTCTCCTCTTATTCTCTGCCTCTGGTCTCGCTCTCTCTCTGTCTCTCTCTCTCTCTCTCTCTCTCTCTCTCTCTCTCACTGCTATTATGATGATTACACTATTATTGGAAGTGCTGTTGAGTTGCAATACCTGTTTCAATGTCTGGGCCAACACGAGCACCACTGCCACCACTAGCCCAGCACTACCTGCACTACACTATACACACAATGGCCAACACTATGGCTAACAGAATACTGTTTAGCACAAGGAGTTGTAAAACCAGTTTTTCTTTTATTTGATTTTTAAGTTTAGTTTACACTTAGTTTTGACTTAATTTTCTTTTTAATTCTCAATTCAAAGCGAAATCTGTAATATCTTTCAGCAAAATTCAAATCAAGCAAATGTCGGGCGGAGCGGCACCACCGGGTTGGGGAGGGGGAGCACCGCCACCACCACATTATGCCGAGTCGGACGACTCGCACGACGACGACTCCAGCAAAGATGGCTCTCTCAAAGGTGGTTCCGGTGATCTCAACGGCTCTGGTGGTGGCTCTGAAGGGGAGGGGGAGCACCGCCACCACCACATTATGCCGAGTCGGACGACTCGCACGACGACGACTCCAGCAAAGATGGCTCTCTCAAAGGTGGTTCCGGTGATCTCAACGGCTCTGGTGGTGGCTCTGACGCCGAGGGCGTCTGGTCTCCAGACATTGAACAGAGCTTTCAGGAGGCGCTCGCCATTTACCCGCCCTGTGGTCGACGCAAAATCATACTCTCAGATGAGGGCAAAATGTATGGTAAGTGTCCACTCCTTTCACGTAACAGTTTGCCAGTTATATGCCAATTACCGCAGTATTACAGTAGTATTTGCTATTGTGCCAAACAATGCATTCGCTCCACATATCATTAGTCTAATAAGCAATCATTCAATGTTCAATACCTTTCACTCAATCAGCCATTAATTGCAAAACATATCCATTTCCACATAATTCACACTTACTCTCAATAATTATTCAATTTTTGACAATTTATTGTTTTGCACTCATTTTGCTGTTATTTCATCTCCACTTAAATCTGATTCTCGTTTTGAATGACAAACCAAACATAATATTATATTTTGTAGAATTGAAGTTCAAGTTTGAAAATCATAAAAATGTGTTTAAGGTTTGTATAGCTTATGATTGAATGAAAAACACAAAATCTCATTAAAAATCAT